AGGCAGGGGAAGGCTTCCCTAACCCTTTGAACAGCCCTTCATTCCCATTGCTGCTTTTTCAGTCCCGGATCTCAGTTTGTCCAGAGCCTATGCAGAGGGTCTTTGGAAACAAAGCCCCGCAGCAATCAGGTGGGATGGGAACTATTCCCTTCGCTTTTGAACCGGCTCCAAAGTGGGCTGGAAAGAGCGGCCCGAGGACTCCAATCTGGCTTTACAACAAGCAAGGAGATTGGAAGCACATGAATGCATGCTAGTCTGGCGTTTCAAAAAAGCAGTCCCCCCTGCTCCTGGATTTTTGCTACCATACTGTTTAACTTTCTTTAAAGTTTGCCCATTCTGCATCAAGTAAACTTTAAAGAAAGTTAAACAGTATGGCAGCGAAAATCTAGTACCGGGGGGGGGGACCCCATTTTTTTTGAGACTCCAGATTAGTGTGCATTCAGGTGGGTCTTGAGATTCCAAATCATCATACTTGTGGCTGCATGCTTCACAGTTGACTGTAATGTTCATCTCTTGGAATTCAGTGCTTCATTTTCTCCAGATATATTTCTCATTAATGCTAAAAAAAATTGATTTTCATGTCACAGAATACTGTTTCTACTGCATCATTCAAGTGACTATTGTCAAATCTAAGACAGGTAGTAATGTATGTTCTGGAAAGGAGTGGTTTTCTCCTAGGTATATTTCCATGCATACTACTTTTGTTCCATTTTCCCCTTTGGTAGACTGATGAGCACTGACATCAGAGAATGTATGAGCGGCCTATAGATTTTTGTTTGTACTAAGGAGTTCTTTGCAACTTCCTTGAGCATCATATTGAGATTATTTTTGTTGGGTTATAATTCTGGGAAGAATTTATGGTGTTATTTCATTTCTCTATTTCTAACAATATCTGTAGAGACACAGATAATGAAAGCAGACATTGAAAACCAAGGAAAATCTTTGAGTTCAGAAGGCGGTTCCAACCTCAAATTGATACGTTAAATCAGGCATGTCAAACTGCCAGCCTATAGGCCGTATGCGTCACGCCAAAACCGCGCCCACCCCATTGCCGGCAATGGGGAAAAAGTTGTGATACGTCGCCCGATGTCATGTGACGTCACGAGTTTGACATGCCTGTGCTAAAGGAAGTTAATGGATAAATAGTAACCAATTCACAGGAGAACAGATTAAGATGGAAGGCGTATATTGAAGATTGCGCAATAAAGATGTCAATATGCAAGAATATTGGATATCTTAGAACAGGGGTGTCAAACTGCCGGCCCATGGGCCGATTTCATCATACCAGAGCTGCGCCCACCGTCGCGAGTTTGACATTTCTGTCTTAGAAGATATTGCTTACCTACAAGAAACTCTAGTATTAAAAGATAAAGTTAATCAGAACACTGATAATTACCAAGTTGGAAAGGTGCTGATGGAATTACCCATAGAAATAAGCAAGCAACAGGAGAATTAGTGAAAGTGCTAACTAAGCTATGTCAGCAAATTTTGAGAATGATAACACTGGCCCACTGATTAGAAGAAGTCATTCTACATTTCAATATCAAAAAATGGGAGACTAAAGTGGGTGTGCAAATTATTGTATAATATCCTTAATTTCACATGCTGGCAAAGTAATGCTTACGATCATCCAGTGTGGATTAGAATTTTACATGGGAAAAAATGGCAAATGTTCAAGCTGGCTTTAGACAAGACTAAAGAACATGAGACATTATAGCTGATACATGCTGGATAATTTAGACTGCCAAAGAGTACCCCCCCAAAATCCATATGTGCTTCATTGATTGTAGGAAGGCTTTTAGTTGTATTGATCACATCAAACTGTGGAATATACTTAGAAAAAAACATCTCATTGTCCTCATATACAGGTCAGAAAGCCACCGTATGGACAGAACATGGTGAAAGTCTGTCTCTAGGTTGGAAAAGGAGCAAAACAAGTGTACATTCCTCCCCCCTCTTTTTTTAACTTACCTGCTGAATATATATAATATATATATATAAGAAGCTGGAGTGGAAGAATATTAATGTGGTTTTAAAATTGGAGGAAGAAACATGAATAATCTGCTTATTATTATGCTGATGACACTACACCAATAACTGAAAATGCATAGGATCTGCAAGTTCTAATACAGGGGTCACCAACCCCCGGTCCGTGGACCAGTACTGGGCCGCGGCATGCCAGCAACCGGGCCGCAGAAACAAGCAAAGCCCCATCTGCGAGATGCAGGCAGCACACAAAACCATGCATTCCGGTCCGCGAAAAAACCTCTCTCCACGGAACAGGTCCCTGGTGCCCAAAAGGTTGGGGACCTCTGCTCTAATAGATCTCACAGAGCACAGACAGTACGTAGAACAACCAGCCTTAGAATTGATAATGAAAATATTGAAGAGACGGATAACTTTGGTCTTTTAAGATTAACCATCAATAGAAAAGGAGCACATAGTCAAGTCAATTATCATGAATAGCAATAGCACTTAGATAGCACTTGTATACCACTTCACAGTGCTTTACTGTGCCCTCTCTAAGCAGTTTACAGAGTCAGCATATTGTCCCCAACAATCTGGGTCTTCATTTTACCAACCTTGGAAGGATGGAAGGCTGAGTCAATCTTGAGCCCCATCAGATCAAACTTCTGGCAGTGGGCAGTGTTACCCTGTAATACTACATTCTAACTACTGTGCCAGTATGGCTCATCATGAACGCCTGGGGAAGTTATTCAGATGTCATGATGTGATTGTGCTTACAAATATCAGAAACGTGGAAGCCATAATATTGCCTGTGATATTTTATAGGAAAAAAATGGATCTTGAAGAAGCAGGGTTAAAAGAGTATTGATGCTTTTGAACTTTGATATTGGAGAAGACTCTTGAGAATGGCCAGTGAAGAAAATAAAAGGATAATTCAAACAAATCAACCAAGAGTTCTCACTTAAGGCACAATTAATCAGACTAAAATTATCCATATAATAAATTATGTGAGGACCTAGCTCTCTAGAGAAAGCTGTAATGCTGGGAAGCATGGAATGAAAGGGAAGAAGAGGATGTCTACAATAAAGGTGAAGAGATTTAATTACAGTGGTGATGGATAGGAGACCTGAAGGATGAGATTAGGGACAGGTGTCATGGGAAAAAAAATTATTTATATGTGTGCTAATAGTTGACATGAAAGTGAGAGCACATAATCAGTACTGTTTGGCAGTTAAATTGATGCATTCTCAGTCATTTGGAATATATGGGAAATCTTTATAAGAAGGTCAGATCTTATGATGAGGATTTGATTCACTTCCATGATCCTGTTTTATGAAAAACAGATGTTGGTGGTTGTAACTCATTTGTCATTTCATTGATTGGAGTATCTGATTCAATGAGCCCTTAAGAGGGCTTCAAAGACAATATGTTCAATAAAAATATGACCCAATATACTATTTTATGTATGACTTGTTTAACTAGTGTTTAGTTGAAGCTTTGGTCAGATTGTAGGATACAGTGTTGCAGGACTATGGATATTTCTAAAAGGTTTGCAGGCTGTATGCTTACAGCTATAAGTTGTTAACATGCTAGAGTGACTTGACAGACAACTGGGAAAAATGAATCCCTTTTTTCTCTTACCTAGACCTTTGTAATACATTCCAGATTATAATTTTCATCAGAATTAAATCCTGGATAATAGATATTTTACTCGGAACTGTCCTGAGGTTAAGCAGGTTATTTTTATTTTCAAAGATCTTTAAATATTCAGAATAAAGTTTAATTTGTTTCCATAACTGAGGGCAGCACACTACCTTGGCCCTGAAGCCTACATATAATAAACAGGATTGTACTATATTGTGTAAGTGAGAGGGCCAAAGGCCTTCCAAATTTTTTTTCTCCTTACTTTTTGAGGTAGATGTTCAAATTGTGTTTAATACTTCACTCACATTCTACAGTGTAAAACAACTAGTAATGCTTAAACTGGCCATTGATCCTGTGTACTTTGTCATTGGATTTCAGCAGTGTCAGTTGAGGGTTCTTAAGTCTGTATGTTGTTACCTGCCTTGCATTGGAACTTTTAACATCATTGCTAATACTGACAGTATAGGCTACTTAAAATTGGTGTATGTTTCATTTTGCCTATCGAATTTCAAAGTCTCTGCTTCTATATTAAGGTTATTTGAGGTTTGCATTTTATAATGTGCATTCTCCATTCCTCTGAGTTGAAGACTCTCTTTTGTAAAATATTTCAGCATGGCAGGAAGTTGCCTCTGCCTGACGGGCATCTACAGAGTTTGAGCTGCTTGGAAAAAAGTAACATGTAGAACTGTAGTTGTATTTTCAAGATACTACAGTGCAAACATGTAGAAATTATACTAAAACAGGCTTTCTTTAAGGAGTAGATGTTTATGTGGAAGATTCTGCTGCTGAAATCCATCAGGGAAAGCTACTTCAGTCACTGTTTTCAAGGTCCTATGCTTATTTTATTGCTTATTGAATATTGGCCATATTCCAAAATTTATGGCTTAAGGACAATCTGCATTTATCAGGATAGGATTCATATTTGTTCACTGGAATTCTTGGTGCAATATCAACATAGACTAGAAAGAGATGCTGTTATCATTTGAAAGGATTCCTTCAAAAGAATATTCATCTGTTTTAGAAATAGTTGCCCTATATTTTCTAACAAATAACGCAATTTAGTTTTCTTCTGTTTTTAACAGAACAATCTCATAAAAGGGTGTATAAACCAAAATCTACTATACATTCATAGATGAAAAATAAACATTGTTTATTGGGTATAATCAAACCATTAAAATTATACCATAATATTAACTTTGAGTGAAAGCTGGAGGATTTTTTTTGTATGTTAGTAAGATAAATTTTAGCATCTTGTCATTTTAAATGTTTTACTTTTTAAATATATTTCTGGTTATTCTTTTGATAAGTGTATAATTTATAATCCATTATTTTAAAGTAACATTCTTATTTATCTGATTAATGTTATATGTGATATTGTTATTTTACAGAGGCGAATGCCACTAACGTTCCGAGATCCAGCAGCTGCTCCTTTAAGGAAACTGTCTGTGGATTTGATCAAAACATACAAACATATTAATGAGGTAAAATCTGCATAATTCATTGAGTTAACTTCTTTTGATATAAGTTTTGTTTATTGTGACTAGAATGCATTTACTAATACTAAAATGCAATGAGTGGAGATATAGTCTTCGAAAGAATACTTACCACTTGAATAGCATTTTAGAAGGGGAAAAAGCTGCTTGGAACAGTATTTAAAATCTATTTTCCTTCCTTCCTTCCTATTTTATTTTATTTTATTATTTCTGCTTTGAAATTATTCTTACTGTTGCAAATGTTATAGACGAAAGTACTTATCTGTTAAAAAAAGAAAAGCTACTGTCTTTTCTATAAATGAAAAGTGGGAGATGCAATAAAATACTAAGGTTGATTTATCCCAGTGGTGGCGAACCTATGGCACAGGTGCCAGAGGCGGCACTCAGAGCCCTCTCTGTGGGCACGCGCGCCATCGCCCCAGTCCTAGGCCTTCAGCTGGGTTTTATAAAACCTTTTCACTTTAGGCCTCCACCGCTGTGTGCAAAAAAAAAAAAAGGTTCAATCAATCAATCAATTTCAACTTCTTGCGGGGAAAAGAAAAGATCTTGCAAAGTTGGAATTGATTGATTGAACCTTTTAGTCCCACCCAGTCTGCTGTTACCACTGCAGCCACGCCCACCCAATGGGCCACGCCCACCCGGCACCGGACGATGCATAAGTGGGTTTTGGGTTGCAGTTTGGGCACTCGGTCTCTAAAAGGTTTGCCATCACTGATTTATCCACTTCACTTGAATGACAGATAGTTTTTAGACTTGTTTCTGAGAGGGTAGAAAAATGTCCATCACTATAGCAATGCTTTCTTTCATAGAATATAGCCAATATTCTTATTTGCAAGGCTTTGTAACCCTGGATGTTAGTGATTTCCTTTCTTTTCTCCAAGCCAGGTAGAAAGCAGAAAAATGTTTCTTGCTTGTGTCCAGATTCCAGCCATCACAAAGCCACTAAATATTTATTGCCTAAAACTGTTCTAGTCTTCCCCTTTTCTTTGCCATTAAAGAATGCCCTTTGTCTAAATGCCAATTGATCAATAATGTAAAAACCAGGACTCTTGTTTATGCAATGCTTAAAAGTTCAGTATTACTACATAAATAACAGACTCTAAAAATGATCTGTTATCCACTCAAGCCCTAAAAATAGATAAAAAGAATTCAATTAAACAAATGAGTCAAAAGACATTGTACTTGTTCATTGTACTTGTTTCTTGAGGAAAATTATCCAAAGCTACTTTTAGCACAGAGTAGAGCAATGTTCTTAGTAATAAAATAGAGGATTAATGTCATATAAGTTGAATTATGAATGCATGTGTTTCTTTTGCACCTTTTAAAATTATGTCTGTTTTGGGAAGTTTTGTGCTTCAAACTTCTTTAATTTACTGAACTTGTATCTGGCTGTTATGTTTCAGCAGCTCCAGATTTGCTTTCAGAGCAGTTGGTCAGAGGCTAGTGAAACAATATCCATACTCTTGCCTAGGTCCTTTTTAACTGAATAAATTATGCTGTAAAATAAAAATGTAACAATGTAATGATTAATATCACCATTATCACCATTTTATTTTTAATCACCATTTTATCATTTTATTACCAATTAAATTATCACCAATTCAATCCCTTTTGCAATAGTGTATGATACAAACTGGCTATGCAATAATTGCATTTCCTAATCTCAGGTTTACTATGCAAAAAAGAAGCGACGACATCAACAGGGACAAGGAGATGATTCTAGTCACAAAAAAGAGCGGAAGGTTTATAATGATGGATACGATGATGATAACTATGACTACATTGTGAAAAATGGGGAAAAATGGATGGATCGTTATGAAATTGATTCTTTAATAGGCAAAGGCTCATTTGGACAGGTAATGATTGATTAATTTGAATAAAAGCAACTTAAAGCAGTATCCTATCCAATGGATGATCTTTGATACACTCATCACAATCCTAGTGATGGAACAGGCCCCCAAGGCCTCCCGACCACTAAGATACTTCATGCTTCCCCTCCCTTCATGTCGCACTGGATTCACCTTGAAAAGATCCGTTTCCTTTCCATGGCCCTCCGGAGGCTGGATCGGGGCACTTCTGTGGCCCTCGGGATGCCCGATCTGGGCACCTGAGGCCTTTTCCAGGCCACTGCCGCCTGGATCTGAGACTGGGTGACGCTTCTGCAGCCCTCTGGAGGCTTGTTTCTGGGAGGCAGTGGCCTGGAAAAGGCTTCCGACACCCGGATTGGGCTTCCGGAGGGCCGCAGAATGTTCATGAATGAAATGTACTTTTAATTTTTATTTAGAAATGGAAATCATTTTACAAAGAAATTTTATCATTTAAAATTGTTAGCTTGAAATATAAATTCCACCAGTACTATGTTGTAGTAACTGTAAGAATACAGTTTTTATTGTTTTTACAAATTAATTTTTATGTTTTATTTTCCCACATGGTTTTTAATTTGGATTGCTTGAATAATGTAACTCTGCAATAATGAGCTTACCTTGCTTTCTCTTCCTTTACCTTCACAATATTTAAATTGAGCTAATTGTCAAATAAAGATATTATTTAGTATTGCAAGAGAACTATTTTCATAGTGTTTCCTACTTTAGTTTTATTCTTGTATCTCCAAAACACTATGAAACATGCTCCAGAAAATTCATCTGCCTTCTGGGATGGATTTGGACATGTGTGGAATCCACAGCTAAAGCAGGAATATATTTCACTTTCACTGGCAGACAAACATTGGTGAACATGTGGTTAAAACTGAAAAGCCTTATTCAATCAACAGGAATAAGGAATATTACTACAATTATCTTGGTTAGAGATTTGTTATAAGTTAGCTTAAACTTCATTACTTGAGTTTCTTATTCAGATTACATTAAAGAGTTTCTAAACCATCCAAATAGAGCCACTCAGAAAGGTATTAAAGAGGTTCTGTTGTTTATAGAACGCATTTTATTTCAATAAATTGTTTTGTCTTTTTTATTTAACATGCAGTTGTATCTAATTCGTGTTTTTCTTTTCTACATTTCTGCACTTAAATTTCTACAGGTTGTAAAGGCATATGATCGTGTGGAACAGGAGTGGGTAGCTATTAAAATTATAAAGAACAAGAAGGCTTTCCTAAATCAAGCCCAAATTGAAGTGCGACTTCTCGAGCTTATGAACAAACATGACACAGAAATGAAATATTACATAGGTATTTATCTTTTCAAGAGATAGCTTTTGACTATCTCAGAGTCTTTATTTTTCTAACGATCAACCATTATATTTTCATTGTCTTTTTGAGGTTATAATGTTATATTTCCTTTTAAAAAGCCTTCTCATTTAATCTTTGCAAATATGCACTTTTAGGCTATTTAAGGAGCATTGCGTAATAATTTTGATAATTTCTTAAACTTTCACTGATTATGTATTCAATTTAGGTGCATTTTTGTACAAGTAGTCTTAATTGCCTCAAAAAACTTTAGAGCCTTTTGGATGACTATAGCTGTTTTATGCAGAAAGTTATCATTCATTAAGGCAGGGAAACACTCAGTGTAAGCATTTTTAAAACACTTTTATAATTGTGAAATTATAAAAAAGTAGCATTTGTTTCTGAACTAATGACAGTTCACAGTTCTGTAACTAAAGTTAATTTTATGTAATTCAAAATGGTTTAATTATCTGCTGGGCATTCTGTTACAGAATCAGAATCATGTACTGTATAAGAGCGATTCTAAAGCAGCACTAAACATTAATGAAATTTGCTTTTACATGCTTAGTTGATTCTAGACAACAAAATAAAGGCAAATGTCTATGGAGATTCTCAGTTATCCAGGTCATAGTTATCCCAAAGATGATTTTTCACAAGGCAACTGGAAAGTCCAGTCCAGTTGCCTCGTGAAAAAGCATCTTTGGGAAAATAAACACAAACATTCTCTTTGTAATGGCAGCAGCATAGTTCTTTAGTTGTTGCATTTAGTTCAATTAAATTTTAGTCTAATTTCAAATAGTTTAAGCAGAAAGGCTGTGTATTGATCAGAAAAGTCAGTAGAAACCTGAAGCCTCAAGCATAGGAAGTCTATAAATAGATGGACTATAATCTGTACTTTTTAGAAAAATAAGTGCCATGGTTTTAATTTTAGCATCATGTGATTTTCAGAGAAATAAATTACCTATAACGTTTTTTTTTTCAAAAGGAAGTTTTTGTTTATGGATATAGAAAAGTAAAAGGACACTTGTACTTTAAAAAAAAAAAGTTGGGCAGACTTTTGGGGAGCCTTTGGAAACAATAGCTTCCTTAGGAAGATGTTTCAAGGTTTGAAGCTGTATATCTGTAATTTAACACCTCCCCCCTTTTTTTTCTTTCAGTGCATTTGAAGCGTCACTTTATGTTCCGAAACCATCTCTGTTTAGTTTTTGAAATGCTCTCCTATAATCTTTATGACCTTCTGAGGAATACAAATTTCAGAGGGGTTTCACTGAATTTGACGCGAAAGTTTGCACAACAGATGTGTACTGCACTGCTTTTTCTTGCAACTCCTGAACTTAGTATCATTCACTGTGATCTAAAACCTGAGAACATCTTGCTGTGTAACCCCAAACGAAGCGCTATCAAAATAGTTGATTTTGGCAGTTCTTGCCAGCTTGGACAGAGGGTAAGTATTATCACTTCAAGATATTTCAGTGTTGCTTGTTGTTTTGTTTTATTTTAAATAAATCGTCATACTCCAAAAATAATTGTATATGTTCCTAATTACTACATAAGGACAAAATAAGCAAAATGTTTTTAGCGATAAAAGGGACCACCCATATTAAGCATTCAAAATGTAGCGTATATATCCATGTGGCTGCAGTCTCCATAACAGTAAATGATAATTCTGTTTGCAGTGTAGTGCACAAATTAAGTTCTGTTGAACTCTTTACTAAATCATAGCCAGAATGCTAGTTTTGCATTTATATAAAAAAAATCTATTTGCAGTGCATAGTTTTGATGGCTCAAATAGCAGAGTAATTCTGTTTCAGAAAGCAGAAGGACAGATTTTTGTTTTTGTTTTTAAGGTTTCTTGAAGTTATACTTTTAAAGTTTGAGTCAAGGATTCCATAATTGAATTCTAAATCAGTAGACTAATCTGGTAAGCTTTTTTTTAAAAAAGCCCAAAGAGGTCAAACAGCAAACCACTTTCATATTGTCAAGAAAATACATAGATGTGGAATCCTTATTGCTCTCTGGGGTTGGTTGGTTGGTTGCTTGCTTGCAGAAGTTTCACTACCCAACTAAGCAATATCACCAGTGCTAGTGAGTGCAAGATTTGTTCCCTGTTTATGTGCAGTATCTTGCCCTGCCAATGTTGGTGCAAATGTGGTTTTTTTCCTTTGTAAATTCTTGATCAGAGTACAGTTTTTTACTTGATTGTTTGCCTGATATTAATCCCTGATTATTGCTGGAGAGGATGTGTTCTAGTCTTTCTGTTTCCTACTGTACATAAACAGGAAGCAAATTCTGCACTCGCTTACATTGATGATGTTATCTACTTGGGTATTAAAACGTCTAAACAGCTCTTTTATTGAAATATGTCCATGCATCACCAGAAGTTGAACTCTGCTTGAAGGAGGCTTATAATTCTACATATGTCAGGCACAAGCAATGACATATGAAGGGTTGAATTTGACTGCTTTATTGCATCCTATCTTATAATATAAGAATCTCATCAGAATGCTTGCCTCTCTTGGGAACAAACAGATAAGGTTTCAGGGAACACGTGTGTGTGTCTGTGTGTGTGAGAGAGAGAGAGAAGGAAGGAAGGAGGGAGGGAGGGATGGGCAGGTTATTCCCTGCTGGTTGGTAGTTTCCCAACATCATAAGAATCTTTCACAAATAAGGAAACAGAATTGCAGTCCATGAAACAAATTATTTTTTAACATTTTCTGCTGTATAATTGCATATTTAACTTTAAACTTCTTTCTTAATTACCAAGAACGTTTTTCTCATTTTGTAATTCAAATAAATTATGTGCAATATAGAATCATTACTTTCTAATTAGAATTTTTGGGGGATTATTTAATGTCTCTGTTTATCAAATACAGATATATCAATATATCCAGAGTCGTTTTTATCGATCACCTGAGGTGCTATTGGGAATGCCTTATGATCTTGCAATTGATATGTGGTCCCTTGGTTGTATCTTAGTGGAAATGCACACTGGAGAACCTCTTTTCAGTGGAGCAAATGAGGTTTGTTTACATTCATATGCATTTATATTATGTTGGGATGGCAATTTTTTTTAGTTTTAAATATTTGGTTACACTTCTAATTGATTTTCCTCATTTGAAACAGGTTGATCAGATGAATAAAATAGTGGAAGTTTTGGGTATACCACCTGCTCATATTCTTGACCAAGCACCAAAAGCAAAGAAATTTTTTGAGAAGTTGCCAGATGGCTCTTGGACCTTAAAGAAGACCAAAGATGGGAAAAGGGTAAATAGATATTTTGAATCTTTGATCTAGATTAATCTGTTTGTAACATAGATGAACATTGTTCCCTAGAGTCAGAATCAACTGGACAGAATCAATTTTTAGCTAATCTTGATTTAAGTGAGAACAGTTTCCCTACATAAGAGAAATTATTTTCTCTAATTTTAATTATTAATACTTCCTACTATTAGGAAGTGTAATAGTAAAATAAATGGCAAGCGTACATCAGCTTTCAGTTCAAAAATATTTCACTGTATATACATTGTCAGAAATAAACTATGCAGTAATTGTTATAATTATTTAACTGTACAGCTTTTACTAAAAAGAATAAAAGGAAAACTTTTAAAAAAATGTTCTGGCATTCCAACCCCAACCTCTATTTTGGTTTAAAGTTTAAGGCACTGAATAACATAGGCACATACTGACACACATATACACACTTTTGGAAGTTGCACTTAAGTTTTGTTCTGTGGCATATGTTTACTCACATACTATAAACTTTCTAAACTAGGAAAATCATAGGGAAATGATGTGGTAAGCCACCCAGAATTACTTTTTTGTGTTTTTTTGTTATTTTATATTTATTTATTATTAAATTTATTGGTCTCCCATCTTACCATAGGGTAACTCTCCAGCATATAAATTTAATAAATAAATAAAATATTCATAGGGGAATAGTTTATAAGTATTGACATCTGATCTTAGGGTCTGTTATAATACATAAATATAACATTAATCTACTGTCATGGCATGTGGGAATGACCTTCAGAGGTGAGGGGAAAGATGATGTCTAAGGAAGATTGGACAAGAGAAGGAGACTTAACAGAGAAAGAAACTTAGGAAGGACATGCCCTAATTAGTCAGGTCAAAAGTGGCAGGAGATTTGTACTTTCAGATTTGCAAATTTGGTGTCCACCCTCCCAAGGAAACCAGACAGGAAACACAACTAGATGAGCTAATTCTACTTTATTGTAAGTTTACATAACAAAATCTTGCAAGTCTGAAATTTTTCAGCATTGCTTTTAACAGCCTGACTAGTTTGGGGGGGGGGGGGGAGATTCCTTCCTAAGTTTCTTTGACCATTAAGCCACTGGGGGTTCCTCCTTCTCTTGTCTGATCGTTTCTTAGGCAGCATCTGTTTCACTCGCCCCACAAGGTCTTTCCCACATATCATATTTACATATGGCAATTCTTACATATTGTGGTATAAGGATATTTCTCTTTGGTTTTCTTTTAAAGTAAATGAATATTGTTAATATTTTGAAAACTGTAAAGGTTTCAGAAGTGGTTTGCCATTATCATCTTCCTAGAGCTGAGAGAGAGTGACTGGCCCAAGGTTACCTAACTGACTTTGTGTTTAAGGCAGGACTAGAATTCAGGGTCTCTCAGTTTCTAGACCAGACATGTCAAAACACAAGGCCCGGGGGCTGGATGCGGCCCGTGAAGTGGTTTCATGTGGCCCGCGAAGCCATCCTGGAAACAGTGAGGGAACGGCCCCCTCTGCCTTGGCCCTGGCCCAGGCCAGCTGGGAGCCAATGTACAATTTTGTGGTGGCCATCTATGCTGAAACGCATTCAGTCTTAGCTTCACAAGGCTGTCTGGAAACAGCGAGGAACCAGGAGAACCTTGAGCAGCAGCCTTGAGGAAGTGGGGCTGGGCTTGGTGCCGTGGGTGCTCAAGGGTCAGGCTGGGCATTTGACCTCTGCTGCCCAGGGCTCTGGGCAGCCCGCACCACCATCCAGCCCCTCCCCCCCGCATGGCCTGAGAGGAACAGTGAGGCTCCTCCAGTGGACCATGCCTTGGCACTTGCCCTGATCCCACCCCTTCTGCCAGAGACCCTCAGATCTGTCCCACTCCTGCCCAGGCTCCCACAGGCACCCTTGACGTGAACAATGTAGAGCTGGCCACGCCCACCCAGTAGGCCACACCCACTCCATTCACGCCCACCCAGTAGACAACACCCACCCTGGCCACACCCACCCGGTCCCCTGAGGACAACCACAATGCTGATGCGGCCCTCAATGAAATTGCGTTTGACACCCCTGTTCTAGACTGATACCTTAATCTGAACACTAAATTGTCTCTGAAGACTTCAGGGACCCATCCAGGCAGTCACCAGGAGTCAAAAACAAAAACCAAAATACCCTAAATCAAGAGCAGGGTTTTCTTTTTTTAAAAACAACAACTGGAAGCATTTATATTGTTAGCAAACTGATGTAAAATAATAAAAAAATGCAATTATATTTTTAAATGTGAAGTATTTCTAATTTTCCAACAGGAGTATAAACCACCTGGAACCCGTAAACTTCACAATATACTTGGAGTTGAAACAGGAGGACCAGGAGGGCGTCGTGCTGGGGAGTCGGGTCATACGGTAGCTGACTACTTGAAGTTTAAAGACCTCATCTTAAGGATGCTTGATTATGATCCAAAAACCCGAATTCAACCTTATTATGCTCTGCAGCATAGTTTCTTTAAGAAAACAGCAGATGAAGGTACAAACACAAGCAACAGTGTCTCTACAAGTCCTGCTATGGAGCAGTCGCAGTCTTCAGGAACCACTTCTAGCACATCTTCAAGCTCAGGTACACTTGTGATTCCTACATTTTGGGAATGAAGTCATTGGAAGAGTATTTACTATATAAATAAAAATGTTCTTATATTATTTTAAATCTGGCTCCCTCTCCTTTTTAAAATTCTAGCTACCCTTTTTCCCTTAGTAATCTTATTTATTATGCCTTCCAGTTGTCACATTAAAATTTCTGATTATATCATCTTCCACATATTTGTTTTACTTATGGTTAAAGGTGGCTCTTCGGGGACAAGCAACAGTGGAAGAGCACGGTCAGATCCAACACACCAGCATCGACATAGTGGTGGACACTTCACTGCTGCTGTACAAGCTATGGATTGTGAAGCGCACAGTCCTCAGGTAGTTTTGAAAGGAAGTCTCTGTTAACTAATTATTGGTATGCTTAAATAACCAAATACTTCTGCTCTGCGATCACACTACAGTAACAATCTTTTACCAATTCTGCAACTTAATATTTTTATCATTCAGATAATTATTTGATAATCTGATTAAAACTGAAATAATTGCCAAAAAACTAATGTAGTTCCTTCTAAATCACATTGCTAAAATTGTTTGAACAGTTGACTTAAGCATTGTTAAAGACATATTTGATAGTCAGATCTAATAACTTTTGTAATACTGCAGGAGACAGATACTAATAAGTAATGATCATATTTCATTTTTTTAAATTTGTTAAATTTTTGGCAACACAAATCAAGTTCAGTGTAGTACAAGTCTAACTCTGCTTTGTTTAGGTTTTATAATATAAAATAATCTCTCCTTTGTGTGTGTGTGTGTGTTTGTATTGTTGTTATAGGTTCGACAGCAGTTTCCTCCTCCTCTTGGTTGGCCAGGAACTGAAGCTCCTACACAAGTCACTGTTGAAACCCATCCAGTTCAAGAAACCTCTTTCCATGTTACTCCTCAGCAGCAAAATGCATTACACCATCATCATGGAAATAATTCCCACCACCACCATCACCACCACCATCATCACCACCATCATCATGGACAGCAGGCCTTGGGTAATCGGACCAGGCCAAGGGTCTACAATTCTCCAACAAACAGCTCGTCCACCCAAGATTCCATGGAGGTGGGCCATGGTCACCACTCCATGACATCCCTGTCTTCCTCAACAACTTCTTCCTCTACATCTTCCTCCTCAACTGGTAATCAAGGCAATCAGGCCTATCAGAACCGCCCCGTGGCTGCTAATGCGTTAGACTTTGGACAAAATGGAGCTATGGACGTCAATTTAACAGTCTATTCTAATCCACACCAAGAAACTGGCATAGCAGGACACCCAACGTACCAGTTTTCTGCTAACACAGGTCCTGCTCATTACATGACTGAAGGACATCTTACAATGAGACAGGGAATTGATAGGGAAGAATCTCCCATGACAGGAGTTTGTGTTCAGCAAAGTCCTGTGGCCAGCTCGTGACTAAACTGAAACAGATTTGTTTCTTGTGTGTTTTTATAGAAGTGGTGTTTTTCCAAAAAAAGAAAAGAAAAAAAAAGTGCAAAGCTGCTTGAATCAGGAGGAGATAGACTTATTGAACCGCTACAGGAGGGCAAAGCTAACTATTTTTTTAAACTTGAACAGATTGCAGTGAAGTTTTTAGAGCCATGTTCATACCTATCCTAGATAGCTTTGAGAAGATTTCTCACCTTTTTGCCCATTTTAATTATTACAACCCAGTCACACATATATTTTTCCCCTTGTTCAACAGAATGAATATTCAAGAGTTGATCTTAGTTGCAAGCATATTTTAAGGCATGCCCAGAATCATATAAGTGGGCATTTTGAGGTTTTTCTTTTTTTAATATTAAGGCGGGAGGGGTGGGGAGTAATAATGAATTTCCATTCCCCAAACATACATGAACACAAAAAGCAGTACTGTAAGGAAGAGGGACCCTAAGATTACAAAACAGAATCTTTAGCTGTAAAAAGAATGGTTGTAATGGTGTTCATGAGACACACGAAGCATGCTAAGTGGCGGTGATTAAGACTCCTTATCTGAACCTACTGAGAATCAAAGCAGCAATTATATTGGGATTCTGTGTCTCATGTTTGAGGCTACAATCAGTTAGTATTGAAATAAGACTGGTCCTGTAAGTAAGGTGCACTGAGAAGCAATCAACAGGTTGGTCTTGACCAGTCCAGGGGAAGTCTTAAGTGGTGGTCTTTGGGATAACCTTTGGCCTTATGGATTTGGACTCTAAGTTAGAAGAGCCTACCATTTCAGATGCAATCACTTTTGGACATGCTTTTGCAGACAGTCCTTAATGCTGAAAACACAGAGAATGGGTAATTCAAGAGGCCTTTCTTTTAAAATAGACTTTGTGACCCACTTATTGTAAGGTATTGCAAGGTCACTTTGCGTGTGTCATAAAGCTGACTTCCTTATTGGTTGAAGGTCACAGGAGTAGTGGTTTGCTTTTGATGAAAATAGCTACAACTGTGTTCCTCTCTGCTTTTCACTTTCTTTTTTCCTTTCCTCCTACGTCTTCTTCCTCTTTTTGCTTTTTCTGGGCACGTGGTTTCTCCACTGTTAAACTTCTGCACAAAGATGTCTTCTGTTCAACCTGAACATTTTTAAAAATGCAGAATTTTATGTGACTGCTTTTTTGCCTCACAATTATGCTGTGAATTTTACAAATTTTTTTTTCTTTTTTGATAATTTATTGTACCAAAGCTGTTTTTATAGCACATAGATGTCTGTAACCAATAATGTAGCAGTTCTGCACTTTGACACAAGGTGTAACTAGACCATTTTTAAATGTCAGTTGAAAATTATGGCTGTACTATTGCTTAAACAAAACTGGAACTGTTGTTTATTCATAGCCAATACATTTACAACAGTCTGTGTATTGAACATGATAGATAGGACATCTAATTCAACACTATAACATCTGTTGCATTATAAATGTGTTCAAGCTTCTGAAAGTAAAAGGGACAATAAAGCCAGAAGCTATGAAACCAGCAGTTAATTTGTGCATCCCTTATTAGCATAAATGTAAACCTGAAGGCAAGACCTTGATTACATGAACAGATCCCAAAACACTAAGATAAGTGAAGTAAAAAAAAAAAAAAGGCCCAAGTGAAACCTGAGGCCGAGTAGGCTGTATTTAGCAGGAGGTCTGCTGCCTTAATTTAACATAATCGGCAGTTGCTAAATTTCAGAACCCTTTTGAAGATTTTTGAAATTACGAATACGAACATTGTGAATAAAATAGAGGAATTAGGGTAATAAAGTGGTTATCTTTCCAGATTAACACTGTTTTGCCCTTTACACGAACAGAAGCAGTAATCTACCTCTGCCAGTAAACTAGTTTAAAAGGCCATTCAACAAAATGCCGTGCACTTCAGACTGGTTAGTCCTTATAGCAAACTAGGTCAGTTCTTCTGAACAAATTTTTCTTTCTTTCTTTTTATAATCATTCCTTATATTGGCAACAGAGAGGCTGAATACAGTGGGAGTATGGAAGAATGCTTTAGAAATAAGGAGTTTTTGTAAAGCAACTTTTTTATCAAGGTATCCATATTTATTTTATATTGCGATATCAAGCCTGTGAATTGATGTTTTTGAACTGCTGTAGTTCAAAAATGTTTGCTGAGCAAAAGGCTGTCATCACAACAATGGAGCATTATGCTTAGCAATACAAAATGGAATCCAATATGTACTGCTGTCTAGGAATATAAGGGTAACAAATATGGGTAATTTTTCTTGTGCTGGTTGCCATACCTTAACAAGCACCAAAAATACTGTTTTTAAATTTACATAAAGAAAAACCATAAACTCCAGTGCTTCTGCATACTGTGTTATGTTACAGTCCAGTTTTGTGTGCTTTACTACACAGTTTGGTTACAGGACTTCTGTGCATTGTAAACATAAACAGCATGGAAAAGGTTAAATACCTGTGTTCAGATTGTAAGATCTAGTCCGGACTTGCTGTGTATATTGTAACGTTAAATGAAAAGACAAGCCCTTTGTATTATAGTCATGCAGTCTTATGTATGATAAACAGTTGAATAATTTGTCCTCAGACTCTTTACTGTGCTTTAAAAAAATAACAAGATAAAATGTAAACATAGTAAAATCTTCCTATGCAATTAACCTACTTCAAGGCCTGGTCTGCTAGGTATGATTATAGTAACGTGTAAATATTAGAAACATTTGAGACAGATTTTAAGAGAATATGGAAGTAAAACTTGGAGGTGTAATATATTATTTTAAGTTTTTAATTCAAATAGCAAGACATTTTTTGAAATGCCCACACCTCTTCTCTGTTTTATTCTGACTGTAAAGCATAATTTTTAGGTTTTAATTGTATACATTTTTACATTAAGTACTTTTCATATATTTCTTTTATTTATATAGTGCCTAAACAAAAGTGATCTCACAGCTGTACAAACTGTAAAACAGTTCTGATACTGCCAACAAGCTTACAAACCAGCCACAGCACTACAGGAATGTACTTCCCCAAACTAAGTTAAAGTATTAAATTAGAAATACATTTTTGAAAAAAAAAAAAAAGATACATTTAGAACCTCTTAATCCATTCATCATAATTTTCTTTGGTTTTTAAAATTGATTATCCTTTTTTCACTTGATACCTCATTATGAGGTAATGTGCAGGGATGTATTGTACTGCATCATTGTATTGTTTATGGCTGTGAGAAGCTGTTAAACCAAAAGTCAAAACATGCTTGTTCAGTCTTTTGTATGCAATGTTCAGAAAATGGGCCATGCACATTCTCAGTATTCCATATCTTAATCAGGAACAAAGGTTAAGAACAAAATTAGGCCCCATATAGGACCAAATTCTGTTCTTACCTGGAGCACTTGGCAAAGAAATCAACAGAGCTCTAGCTCCTTCAATTGCCTGCTATAGTATGTATGGATATTGCTGCAAGAAGCAAGTACATTCTTCATGAAACCCTTCTTGTTCTCTATGTAGTATGTGGGTAGCAAGAAAAGAAGGGTAGAACATAACTATGGTGAGGCTGTTTGTAGGCTTTCCATGCAAATATACTTGCATGGGCTTATCTTTACAAAACAGGGTCTAAACTAATAAATAATGCAAAATTTATCACGAATAATTGGGTTTTAGCCTAATTTCTTCTAAAATGTTAAAAATGTGAAGTGGTTATCCTTTTTTAGGGTAAAAAGCTTTATACCAATGTTTTTTATTTCAGTTACTCACTATGCCCAAGTACCTTTTTAAAAGTAATATATGGTATGACAAGTTTTATTGCAAGTCTGCACAATACACTACTTTGTATGTCCAAATTTGTACACATAAAGGACCTATGAAACCACGCGAAGATTGATCATAGCCAGTTGATGTGTTACTGTTACAAGGTTATCGCCCAGTTTATAATTTTTGTCACATTCAGGTGGGGGTGGTCACAGAAAATCGATGGAATTCAGTTTAACTTTTGTTCATTATTGTTTTAAATGTAAACAACAGATAGATAACATTCAGATAGGATTTGATCTGAAGCTGCACCTATTTCAACACAGGGAAGAAAAAAAAAACACTTTGTAAAAGTCCTTCAGTAAGTTGAGGACAAAGAAGAAACCATAAGAACCGGACATTTGCAGAAGTGTAAATTCTACAATCTTTTCTGTTTCTATTAACAAAATTGTTTAAGGAAGAAAGAGTTATTAGTTATTTCTTACCCCAATCAAGACTCTGGTAATGAAATTAAATGCTGTGCTTGCAGCATAATCTGACTCCTTGAAGACTCAGGACCTGGTTTAAACCTTGAAATTTAAGAATGGCTGAGTTCACATGATAACAATTGGAAATGCAACATTTGTTTTTCTTTATTTTTCCCATTCAAGCCTGATTTGAACCCTTGGGTTATGCATCTGCACAGAAGCCTGTTCTGAATCTGCTAAAGTTTATAATATTTTTTGGGACTAGGCTTTGCTACTACTGAGCTTCCAGTCTGGTTTTAGCCTGTACAGTGTTAATACTTTGACCTAAAGTGGAATAGTCTTTCTGATTTTCTTTGGGTTTTTTCTTCCTTCCAGTTCTTTGAAACTGCTTTAAATTGTTAGGACACCTTGTTTACACAGGTGAAACACTCCCTTCTGATGGGCATAAATGTTTTTTTAGCTTGATGAAGGTCATCATAATTTATAAGTACTGTCAGGCTGCAAAGCAGGTACATCATAATTGTTCTCATTTGAAAGTTGCACTGGGAATAAGCTTTCCAGGGAAGGGTGGGGTGATGTGAATTCCAATGGTTATTGCATCTTTTTGTCTGATAAAATTATTTCCTGCATGCTGAGGAGCCTCAATTTTTTTTACTTTATCTACACTAGCTGAGAATTCAAAAATTCCCTGGAATTCCACGCAAGACCAGAAGGTCTGATTTCAACTAGCCTTGAGAAGTTATGGTCTTCTCCAGTTCCACAACTATTACTTCCACCTTTATTGGATTCCTCAATTTGTGTGATCCTGATTATCCAACCTTGCTGATTCATCTTCAGGCAAAGAAATCCATCTTGGAAAGAAAGATTTCACCAAATCACATTTGAGTGCGGACGACCCTATCTGGAATTGTCAGAACTGAAGTCTTCCCATTCCACTGACATTATAGTTGACCGCACTATGCTTACTCTGTTTCTACAGATCATCTCCAATGTCAGTCAGGTGTCTCTGTTCTGCTTGGTCCTTTCAGTATTAAGCTTTTTGTCAATGCATCTATAATTCCTGGGAAGCTCAAGATATGAAACAGACCATCATATGGATAGGTCTCCATATTCTCAAACCTAATCATGCTTTAGACCAGAGTCCCCCAACCTTTTGGGTACCAGAGACCCGCTCTGTGGAGAAAGATTTTTCTGCGGACAGATGGGGCTTCACTTGTTTGCGCGGACCGGTTGCTGGTATGCCATGGCCCAGTGCCGGTCCATGGACCAGGGGTTGGGGACCCCTGCTTTAGACCAAGGATCTCCAAACTTTTCAGTCTGAGGGCCACATTGGACATTTTGCAAACATTTAAGGGATGGGGCAAAGGTCAGTTTTATAAATGAGCGAATAAAATTTAATTGAATTGTTTCATTTTGCTCAATGTGATAAGATTCACAACAACAGCAAAGAGTAAATGTGACAACTACAAAGAATAATGCTATGCTTATACGAACAAATGATGTAAGAAGAATTAGCAAATGCTCCGAAGAAATAATTGATTGCTGCAGATAAAAAAAGGCTATTCTTTTTTTCAATAAATTTTTGTCAGATTTTACAAATCTATATTAAATGAGAATCTGCCCAATTTTGTGGTGCAGAATACAAACAATACACATACCCCCAAAAAGAAAACCAGTAAAATGAAGAAGTTCTGACAATTGCAGGTTTAATTCACATGAAGCACAGAATTAATGTGAATGAAGGAGCTGATTTTTTTTAAGTTTCAAAATAAGTGAAAAGCAGTTAGTGCCGTCAATTCTTATATCTGGGGTGTAAAAC